CCCAATATGCCATTACAAAATGATTTTCAGCAAAACCAAGATAAAAATGCAAACCACGTGTAAGTTCAACAAGTTGAGAGTTCTGGCAAAGATGTTAGCAGCTACATGTTGAATCAGGACTTACACATTTCTGGGTCTTATGATCAGTAATAAAATAAGGAGATATATAGCCTCTGGTCAGCTTCATTCCTTCTACCACTTCCAACTCATTATGCAAAGTGTTCCCATCCTGCAGTGTTTAACCATAGTTCTAATAATCTGGCGTCAAAATTTGCCAACTTTAAATGCAACCAAGAAAAAAGGGCAAAGTTGCTTACAGCAACAGTAATGACTCCCTCCTTTCCAACTTTCTCCATTGCTCTTGCAATAAGCTCTCCAATATCACACTCTCCATTAGCAGATATAGTTCCAACCTAGTAATCATATATAGGAAATAGATGCACAATTAAAATAAATAAATAAACTAGTACCGAGAATAGCAGTTTTAAGTCATCTAGTAATTCCCACAATCAACAAACAGAGAAAGCTCAGCCTACATTGAGAAAATGGAAAAGACAAGAAGCACTACTAAGCATAAAATTGTCACATGCACAACATAATTGCAAAGAGCTTCCATTTTTTGTACGGGGATGTAGAGCCGTAAAACAATAGCATGCTAGTAAAGGAGCTGATCCCCCCCCCCCAAAAAAAAAAAGGTGTGCAAATCGAATTATCAGCAACAAGCTTTAGAAGATTATATATCTCATTCACTGCCAAAGCATCCAATGTATATGTTCTCAAAGTTTATAGTAATGAAGTACAAAAGCATAGACCCTATATGCTATGTTTGGATGGAGAGAAAATGAGAGGGAAGAAAAACTAGGGAGGAAAATAGGGGGAGAAGTGGTTTTTCTCCTATTTGGATAAGGGAAGAAAAGTGGGAGGAAAGAAAAGTTGAGGAGAAAATAAGGTGGGTCCCACATCCCATTTTCCTCCCAGCTTTTCCCTCCATACATGGAGAGAAAATGAGAAGATTCTCTACCCTTACATATGTTTTTTCAGCTAAATAATACTCCTCCGGTCCTTAATATAAGACCCATTTAACTAATTTGATTAGATTAAGGAAGTTAGGTGAGTTAGTTAATTATAAGAAATATGACACGTTTTTCCTAAAATACCATAATCATATTTCTTAATACCTCATCTTTCTCTTCTACTTGATTATGGTTGAAAGGGTATCCATAAGGGTAATTTAGAGATAATTGATAAATATGAGAAATGGGTCTTATATTTAGGACCAAAACCAATTCACCAATTGGGTCCTATATTAAGGACCGGAGGAGTACCTATTTTTTTTTTTCCATTTTTTCACTTTATTTATTATTATCAAGTTTTTCTTCTATGTTTGCTTCATTGAAAAATAAAATAACTAAGATTACAAAAATCCTTCTAAAATGAACTGAAAGGAAAAACAAGTAGAGTCGTTGTTTTGGTTTTCTTAGCATTACATTACACAATTTTTTTTTTTTACAAAACTATTTGATATTAAGATATAATAACATGATAATATATCTTTATCAAATAATTCAATTTTAAATTATATAATTATGTTAATGTAAATATGGTTTTTCATTATGATATTTAATTTGATTTTAATCAAAATATATTTTGATATAACAAAAAGGGTATTTTAGTCATTTAGTCATTCATATATTTACTTATTTTCCTTTTTGTTTTCTTTTGTCCATCCAAACATGAGAGGTGATAATATTTTCTCCCCAATTTTCTCTTTTCTCCATTTTCTCTCCTCTCATTTTCTTTCCTCTCAATTTTTCTTCCCATCCAAGCAAAGGGATAATAACTATCTAACTAGCAGAAGAAAACTTTGCAGGAGAATCACTAGCACCTGGGTTATTTCTTCTTGTGTGCTAATCATTAATGCTCTGCTTTTCAAATCAGTAATTACAGCATCAACTGCCTTATTTATACCATTTCGCAAATCCATGACATTTACACCAGCAGCAATTGCTTTGCAACCTTCTGTAAGTATAGCCTGTGTAAGAACAGTTGCACAAGTGGTACCTGGAATTAGAGAACAATGACTATGTAAGATTAGAAAGCATCAAACATTAGCTACATATTGCCTGAGACGGGAAAGTAAAAAGTGACCAGAGCTAGGAAGGTAATTGAAAACAATTAAGAGATCCATTTTCAAACTTAAGACTGTTAAGAAAAATGTGCAGGTAAAGAGTCACAACTGCTATTGCATATAATCTTCTCTTAAAACTTCTTTCTTCCATTTGATCTGTAGCTTTAGATCACTTAAACAAGTTATTAAAAAAAAAAAAAAAGGGTAATTTTCATGGACTAAAACTATTTTACCAAAAAGTCTTCATTAAACCTGATGAAATAGCAGTAATTTATATTATTGGCTACCAAAGAATTGTCAGATTTAGCTGACCTAACTTATCTAGAGTTCAAAGCATTAAGGTATTGTAAAGCCAATTATCTATGTATACAGCTAAATATTGAATAAAAATCAATCTCTCATTTCGCAACATTGCATATTTATTTAGGAACAAAATCTCTAAGTCATCACCATCGCCAGCAGCAGTATTGGTAGCCTTAGCCACCTGCTTCACGAGATCAGCACCAAGATTTTTGGCCTTGTCTTCAAATTTGACACTTCTGGCAACCGTCACTCCATCCTTTGTAATCTTGAGTTTTCCATGACTTTTCTCAATGATTACATTGCGGCCCTGAACCAATCATTCGAAATGAAAGTCATTCGCCATTTTGAATTATGGCCAGTCACAAGTTTCAGTAATAGCTTTTAGCCTCTAACTTGCAACAAAAATTTGAAAAAGTCATTCATCCGAAGGGACAAGTAATAAGAATACGTCCCCTAGCTACCAGAAAGGTTTGACCTTGTCAGCACCAAGAGAATTCATAAAGATACATAATGACCACCAGAGTTCACTATAATAGTCACAACCATTAACTAGCATGAACGAAGAAGAACCAAGTGATCCGGAATCAGTACCCTAGGTCCCATTGTTACTTTTACAGCCGCTGCAACCTCAGAAACCCCTTGAAGCATAGCAGCGCGTGCCCCAATTCCAAAGTTGATATCTTTCGCCACATAATTTCTGTTGGATATTATCCGATTACATACCTGTCCAATAAAAATTAAATATTAAGGGGGAAATCAGACCGGCAAATAATCCATCCAGAAATCAGCCGCCCAACTAAACAAGAGCACAAACTAGTGCAGAAAGTAGTAAACAATACTGAAGCAATATGTTCTATGATCACCCAGATACGAAAAGCTTGCTAATTTGATCCAAGCACAAACGAAAAGAATAAGAAGAGAAAAAGAAAGGCTCATTCTGTAGTTTGGAAGGCAGAGTGACCAGAGGTTGAAAATTTTGAGATGCAAATGAAATAGGTAACACTCGAGAAAGAAGGAAACTTTCTTACAAGTTTTTTGGAAGAGGAGGAGCCGATGGACGACGCTAGTTTGGAAGCTACTCGATGCATTGCCAGATCGAAAAATGAATGCGGTGAAGCAGATGAACAGAAGGGATGGCCACTGGCAAGAGCAAGTATGCCAAGAGGGCTTTAGAGAGGGTTTAAGTGCTTTGTGATTCCCTTTTCCTTTCTCCCTTCGGGACCAGGAATTCACATTCCTTCCCTTTTCCCTTTTGTGTTCTCGAGTTTTCTTTTTTTTTTTTGGTGAAGTCGAGTTTTCTTTATTTAAAATGGCATTTCATTATTTTGAATTTAATTTTATTTAATTAAATATTAAAAAAATTGTTCTCAACATTTTTTCTTAATATGAGAGGATGAGAAGAAATGCGACAAAATGAAAAGGAATGGGAGCACGGCAGTACATATCCAATTATCCATTGCCTGCTTTAAATGAATATATTACTTCAAAAAATTATTCATAAATTTTAAATAAAAAAATTAAACGCATAGAAGAAGTTCCAAGAATATCAAATGCGTATAATATAAATCAAACGATTCTCTAAATTGCAAATGAAAAACAAACAAGCTGGTCAAAAAAAAAATGAAAAAACAAACACTACCAAGGGAGAGGAACATGTTATATCAAACATATTCGATATTCTCCTTAGCAAAAAAAAAACATATTTGAAAAATTGAACATCTTTAGCAAAAACATTGAATAACTACAATTTTACAAATAACACAATAAGAATTAAATATTTGTGACATCATCAATAACATTAAAAAAATATAATAAAGTTGGCAAAAAATATATATATATAATAAAATGAAATAATCAAAAAGGGCTCATGGTTTAAAAAAAAAAAATCAGAAGGGCAACCGTTGTACTCATTCCTGACTCTAATAGTCTAATTGAGAGCAAGTGGTATGTCTCTAAAATTTAAATTTTGAACTATTTGTCTAGGGTATGAGAATCCCTATATATCACTTACACATGACTCATGAGTTAGTTCAATATACTAGTTATTAGAATCTTCTTAATAACAACCATAAAAATAAGAAGTTATCACTCTGTAGTAACAAATTTAAAATAATATTTTTGTAATATATATATTCTCTTAACATTCAAAACATCAAATTATAGATACGAGCGAGCGATTTTATTTTATAATATTGAGAAAAATTGAATTTTAACCATCATTAATAAGTATAAATAATAATAATGTGTGCATGCATTAATATTTCTTTGATTGCGATTTCCCTTCAATGAATTGTGCCTAAATTTAACCCAGAAAATGCTATTTATAAGTATAATCACACAAGTAGTAATGCAAACAATCCTATTATCTCTATCTCTCATTTCACACAATGTCTCATTTTAATTAATTCCTACTTATATATATCTCTGAGGTTTGTCTTCAACTAAAGCCCAGAAATTTCAGGAGATCTCTCTAACCTCCGTCTCTCCCTCATCCCCCAGCCTTTCCCGCCGGAGTCGCCGACGCACTTCTCTCTCCTTCTTTCTCTGAAATCCAAACCTTCGCATTGCCATGAACGTTCGGAATAACAACAATAATAATACCAGTAACCACCATAACAACAACAATAACCAGGCTTGTGCTGCTTGTAAGTACCAACGTAAGAAGTGTGCTCCTGACTGTATTCTCGCTCCTTATTTCCCTCACGATCGACAACGTCAATTCCTCAACGCCCATAAGTTGTTTGGTGTCCGGAACATCACCAGAATCATCGAAAACCTCGACCCTCACAGTCGCAACGAAGCCATGCGAAGCATCATATATCAGTCCGACATGCGAGCCGCCGACCCTGTTGGAGGTTGTTACAGGCACATTCAAGAACTTGTCGCCCAGATTCAATACCATGAGGCTGAACTCGAGCTTATTCTTCAACAACTTGCTGTATTTCGTGCCCAGGCTCGCCATCATCATCATCTTCATCGGCATTCTCATCCTCAAGAGATTGTTGACACTACTCCAGATCATTTGTATAGCCCTAATATTGCAGCAGTATTGCCATCACCAGTTTCTCATTACCAGTATATTCAACAGCAACAACAAGAGCCGACGATGAATATGATGGTAGTTAATAAGGATCATCACCATCATCAGAGTAATAATAATAATTTGCAGGACGATGTTAATTATTGGGTTTCGCAGGATTCAATGTCTTTGTCGTCTTTGTCGTTGCAGAACAAGAATGGCGGGGATGAACAAAGTGGTTATGTGGGTGATGAATTGTATAATGATCATAAGTCGTCGTCTTCTTCGTCTATGCTTGATATTCATCGTGATGACAGGTTTTGAACCTGAAGAATTACTAGTGGAACAATAATAATAATTAATGCAGATGGAGTATGTGTGTTTTATATCATCGTTATTAATTTATAAGGCACACAAAGTTTTGCAATTTATATGAAATTCTTCTGCAATTTCGTTCTTCTTTGTCCATCATTATGATCTATTTCCCAATTTCATTTTCAAGTTTTGGTAGAAGGGATTCGTTCAGAAAATACAGTTTTGGAAAAAGGTAGAAAATATAGCTTGTACAAAATATACTAATAATAAAGTATGAGTTTACTTTAGAGACATCATCGTTGAAATTTATGTGCAAAATAGAACCTTATTATTGGTTTCATTAACTCCATCATTCTCAAATACAATAAAGACTCTATAACCTGTGGATCCTTGAGTGACAACTAATTTGTTTGCGAGCTGTTGATTCAATCTGTTCGTTCATTTAAGATAATTTCATGATCGTATCGGTAAAAGATATACGACGAAGATGTACAGTTTTTGTTTTACATATTAAATCATACTGTTCATCAATAAATTTCTTTGTGCTTGTTGAAACTTGCTGATGAATTAAATCGAGTCTTTGGTAGTTGTGATGTCAAATATTGGAGAATTTTGGGAAATGCACATTAATCGTGCATGTCGTTGGAGAGATGCAGAAGATTTACATCCATTTTCCTTTAATTTGAAAATCATATTATGGCTTATTATTAATAATATAAATAGTCCCAAAGGAGTATTATTTTTGTATTGATTGACTAAGTATGTGAAATAGATTAAATGCTTATATCTGCAACTTTTAGAGTTAAATTTGACCAATATCTCTATGCACTACCACAAAAAAGAGCTTTCACGACGCTAATTTACGACGGTTATTAGAAAAAACATTGTAAAAAAATGACAGTGGCATTTCTGTAATTATAAGCGGACTTTTAATTGTGGTTTTTTAAATAACCGCCGTAAAAAATCTATCAAAATTTTAAAATCCATCACACGATAGTTTTCACTTTTCAGAATCAGAGCTTATAGTCTCCATATCATCCTCACTCTATTTTCTCTCTCCTCTTACATTTTTCGGCATTTATCCATTGCTTCTATTATTTCCGCCATGTTCTTCCATCACCGTTATTGTTGCTGTCACCATCGCCTCATCCTCTTCATTCTTATTTGTGAGTTTTTCACCTCCATTCTTTCTGTGGATTTTATAGTTTTTGTGGTTTGATATGATTATTTTCTTTGCTTAAAAATATGATGTTTAATCTGAGTTTAAAGAGATCTGATTTTTAGCAGATCTGAGTCTTTGATTTTATCAGATCTAAGTCTTTGATTTTATTTTTATTAAATCTTAGTTGCTTCGATCTGGTGGCTGAAGGTGAAGCTAAGTGACGCTATTACGGGGGGAAAGAATCTATATTTACTCTATCAGAATGCTTTTAACTGGTGAGAGACTTCTTTTGAGACTTTGTTCTCCCATTCCATCTTGATCAGTAGGGTGAAACGTAGACTAAAAAAACAAAAAAAATTTCACAGTGGTTATTTATATAACCACTGTGAAAGGCCACATACCATGGCGGTTCTTAAACCGCTGTGAAATCCTCTACATTTTATGTCTATGGCATAGACGCCGGTCTCAAAACCACCGTGAAAAGCTTATTTTAGCCACCATTAAATGTATTTTTTGTAGTAGTGATGATTGAACATTTGAACATCAGGTTGTTTCCAATTATCCGGCCACCGTTGACAAAAGGGCAAAAAAATCATAAAATATATGTTTAGAAACCCTACTACTGTTCATCTAAGTAAGCCATCAATGAGTGTTTATTGTGAATGGGAAAAGTTTGAATTCAAAATCTTAATTTATATACACACTTTTAATTTTTAAATTTTTATTGAAATGCGGAAAAATAAAAAAATGTTTATTGAGTATAAGAAATACCTCATTGCCCAAGCATACATAAAAACCTAGATTCTTGGAGCGGGTCAATGGTATAATTTGTTTTCAATTGTATGTAGCATATCTTTAGACTTCATTTATGTACAAATATCTTTAGCCATGCATACAATTGAAAAAGAATTATATCCTCTAAACATAAGTTACATCTAGGTTCTTAAACAAATTTTAAGTAGTTTTGGGCAATAAATTTTGTGATGGAGGATTTTTCAGCAAATTTCACTATAATTTTAGTTATTTTATTTGTTATGTAGTATAACAAAATGTTACAAAACTGTATATCAATAAAATCCCACAAATTTTACCTAGAAAAAATCAAACCTCATATTATTGCTTTAAATGCTTAGGTTTGTTTAAAAGAAATTATTAAGTAAAAATGTATTTCTATTAAAGAGCTTCCATTTTTGATACAGTGATGTAGAGTGGTAAAACCATAGCATGCAAGTAAAGGAGTTGAATCCCCAAAAAAAAAAGGCGTGCAAATTGAATTTATTAGCAACAAGCTTTAGAAGATTATATATCTCATTCACTGCCAAAGCATCCAATGCGTATGTTCTCAAAGTTTATAGCAATGAATTACAAAAGCATAGACCCTAATATTGCCCAAAACTACCATGAGGCTGAACTGGAGCTTATTCTTCAACAACTTGCTGTGTTTCGTGCCCAGGCTCGCCAACATCATCATCATCTTCACCGACATCCTCATCCTCAAGAGATTGCTGATACTACTCCAAATCATTTGTATAGCCCTAATATTGCAGCAGTATTGCCATCACCAGTTTCTTATTATCAGTATATTCAACAACAACAACAAGAGCCTGAAAATAAAAAATAAAAAGAAGATAAATTAAGTAATTAACACCAAATTCATTTTATATGATAAAATTCCAAATTATTGAAAATGGAAATTTTATTTGAAAAATAAATAACACCAAATTAATATTATATGATAAAAATGTAAAGAAAATTTAAATTTGAAATTATGAATTGGTAAAAAATTATACATTAACTAATTAACAAATTACACTTAAAAAATAAAAATAAAAAAATATTTTACAGAAAATTATCATGGCGGGTCATTTAATCCTTATGTAGCTGTTTCGAAAGTAATTGGCATCAGAGCAAGGAATGGCGGCAGCCTCCACTATCAATTCAACCACCTCAGTTTCATCGTCTGCTTTATCATCTGTCAAGACCTTTCCACTTTTTAGCTCCTCTAGCCAGACGACAGCGGTCAAGCTAGACTGTACGAAGTATCTCGTCTGGGAATCCATTATTAGACCACTCATTGAGGGAAACAGGCTTGCGTCGCATATTGACAGCACTGTTAGTGCACCTCCACGATAGATTGCTAATGCTGCAGGAACCACAAAATCCAATCCAGCCTTTGAAGAATGGTATTCGGTTGACTATATGTTAGTTGGGTGGCTGCGCAATACAATGTCACTAGAAGTTTCTGCTCAGTTGCTACATTCCAAAACTGCTGAAGATTTGTGGCAAAGTGCCTAAGAATTGACTTATGCTTCTACAAAGGCCAGAGTCATGGCCATTAAGACCAAGCTTCATAATACCAAGAAGAATTCCTTGAAAATAGATGTCTATTTAGCCAAGATGAAAAGCTTCTTTGATGAACTTGTGCTTGCTGGAGCATCTATTGGCACCGATGACCTAATCCTTCATACCCTGAACGAACTGGATGCTGATTATAATGCCATCTTAGTAAAACTTATGGACCAAGCTAATTTGACTTGGGTTGAAGCATAGTCATCTCTTCTAGCTTTTGACCAGATGCTCAAGCAGCTATCTCAACTTTCCACTTTGACTCTTCAGTCCTCTGTTAATACTGCTTAAGCTGAGAACTCTCATTCAAATTCTGGGTGAAGCTCTGACTCTGGTAGTAATCGTGGTGGCTGGCATGATTCTCAAAATTTCAGAGGTGGAAATGGTCGTGGCCATCGTAATGGAGGCAATGGTTGTCTATGGTGCAGTTGGTGTCAATGTCTCAGTCACACATTGGCCACCTGTTACTATAAACCCACTAATCTCATTAATGATATTTTTTATTATTCCCTGTAGACTTATTATGCAAATCCTCATATTGTCACAGATCCATCCTGGTATATGGACAGCATAGTGAACTATAATGTCATGCCACATTTAGAAAATTTGGATCATGTAGCTCCTGTTGGTAAGTTACACATTGTTATTTGTACTGGTGGACGAGATCATATAGTGGGTGTTGGTTCTACTACTCTTCCGTGTAACCAATCTAAATTACTCCTCCGGTCCTAATTATAAGACCCAATTGACTTATTTGAGGAGATTAAGGAAGTAAGTTAAGTTGGTTATTTATAATAAATAAGTGTTGTCATTCCTAAAATATCCTTGCTAATTAAGTATATTGGCTAAAACTATCATTATTAGAAGGATTATCTTGGAAAAAAATGCATAAATATAAGAAACAAAATGGATTGGGTCTTATAATTAGGACCAAATAAAAAGTCAAATTGGGTCTTATAATAAGGACCGGAGGAGTATTTCTTAAGGACGTTTTGTTGGTTCCCTCTGCTACTAAGAATTTACTTAGTGTTGATAGACTAATCCAAGACAATCCTGTTGATGTTAATTTTAACAAAGCTGGTTGTGATGTGAACGAGTCGAAGACAGGTAGGCTTCTGATGGCAGGGACACCCAATGAAGGACTCTACCCAATGGACAGTAATTCATCTTTGAGACTACAAATCAATTACGTAAGGCTTGGATCCACTGATCATGATGAGTTTTTAAAATGGCACCACACTTTGGGTCATCCTAGTATTAGAATATTAAAACAAATCTTGAATAAATGTAATCTAAAATTTTCTGTCAATGAAAATTTTTTCTGCAAAGCTTGTTAGTCTAGAAAATCAAAGTTCTTGTCGTTTCCTAATTCCCTGTCTCATGCCTATACTCCTCTCGAATTGATCTATATGGACTTATGGGGTCCCTCACCAATACAGTCCACTGGTGGTCACAAATTTTATGTCCATTTTTTAGATGACTTCAGTCGATAATACGTGGTTGTATCCACTTAAGCATAAGAATGAAACCGTGGTTGCTTTTAAGCACTTTAAAGTATTGGTGGAAAATTAGTTTAATTTTAAGATTAAAGCTATTCAGTGTGACAATGGCACTAAGTATAAATCATTCATTCCAATTGCACAAGAAGCAGGCATTAATCTTCGGTTTACATGCCCTTACACCTCTGTTCAAAACAGACGAGCAGAATGGAAACATGGTCATATTGTTGAAACTGGGTTAACTTTATTGGCTTAGGCTCGTATGACTCTTACATACTAGGTAGATGCATTTCAAATGACTGTTTTTCTAATTAACCGGTTGCCTACTCCAATGCTTGATGGTGATACACCTTTGTACCATTTGTATAAAACAAAGCCAAAGTGTGAAAAATTACAGCCTTTTGGCTATGCGTGCTACCCCTGCTTAAAACCACACAATGTCCATAAATTTCAATTTCACAGTCAGAGATGTGTTTATCTGGGTTTAGCATCTCAACAAAAGGGATATAAGTGCTTAAGCGCTATTGGGAAAATTTTTATCTCTCACCATGTTGTTTTTTATCCTTTTCTCTATCCGTTTGTTTCAGGTTTCTTGAATCAAAGGGCTATTGTTGGGCCACCTCATCATGAAGTGCTATTTGTCATTCAAGCACCCCTAACCTTTAAGAGTTAGAACACTACAGGCTCTGATACCAACTTAGAAAATAGGGCAATATTGGATAAAATCTGAGCATTGAATCATATGCTCAGGACCGTGTATTAATATAGTGCACAATACATCATTATAGAATATTACACAGCTGTAAAGGTATAACAGAATCAGCTGTACGGGTATAATAGAATTCCTACAATCCTAACACATATAAGGGCCTAATTAAACATGAGACAATTTGGCTAGAACTCTAATTTTTGTTCTTTAACTAATTTATCTTTATTTTGTTATTCCTCAACAACTAAACAAGATTTCAACTAATTAAATAAAACCCCTCTACAATTAATGAGCTCTGTTAAGAGTAATTTAAAATTTTAAAAGCATTAAATAATTTTAACCAATTTATTAATCTATATTAAATTTGTTAATAGCAATAGTCCATAATAAACTAGCTTAATTTGCGCTGTAAAATAAAAATCATATATGTAAAATTAGGAATGAAAAATTTACTGTTAATAATTCTTAATGTATAATGATGATGGTTAAGAATATCTTAAAATCCTAATTTTTTTCCTCATAGACCAATTATAAGTTATGATTATTTGTGCTTCTTAAAATTAGCATTTATAATATGTTAGTTATTGTATGCAGGTCTTGAAGAAGAATACATCATTTAAGTTTTGCCACAAGTTATATTAATGAAACTTATGAATAATAACTTCGAAAATTATGGGTGACTTTCTTTGATGATGACATATATTTCTCATGTAATATTGTATCGATGTTTTTAAGAATCAGAACAATCCTGAACTAGTCAAAGCATTATTTTAAGGTTCACATTGAATCCGCAGAAATAAATTAAAATTAATATATCTTTATCCTTTATTATATTGAAATATTCCACAAAAAATAAGTAAAAGTATTACCGATAAATTTCACAATATAATATTCAAATATCTAAATAAATTTATAATATTCATCACTTAAAAGTTAACATAATAAGCTAATATTCTATCATCATAGTATTCATGAAATAAATATGCAAATTATTAGTAGTTATGTATAAATATAATGCTAATACAAGCCAACAAAGGTCTTAACGCTTATCCAATTGATGAGGACCCGACTCATAATAACCCACGAATGACGTTAATTTGAATCTCTCTATGAATTGATGAGTAATTGGCAGTTACTTTCATACATACTCTAAGCCTTGATTAGTCATAGTGTACTCCTACCTTAATCTTTTGAGATTCCTCTAAACCCAATTCACATAAATTTTTAGTTATTAAAAAAAGGACCAAAAAAAAAAAAAAAAGTTTAAACTGGTTGTAAAACTAGCTAGCAGCCCAATAATTAGCTTCCTTGGCTTCTTGATTTATCTTGTAATGTTTCAAACAAGTTGAGACAACAGAATTCATGGGTTTTGACCAGTTGGATCCAATTTTAATATGAATGAGTTACATATAATAATAAATTAATAATTCTAGCTAGTAACTAAATATAACCCCAAAAAGAAATTTGATTCCATAGTTATATTATTATAATGAAGAAAATTAATACTTAGGAAAAATGAAGTGATATATATGTGTGTGTCCATGTTTTCCTAACATTTCTCTGCATCTCCCACTCCCACTTTCCCAACTTTCTTTCCGTTAAACAGAGCCCAGAAATTTTAGGAGAGATCTGGTGGCCTGCAACCTCTCCTCCGCCGGAGACGCTTTCTCTTACCTTTTCCCGTTGCCACTGCCATTGCCATGAACCTCTCTCACAACAACAACAACAACGTTAACCCTAACAACAGCAATAATCAGGCTTGTGCTGCTTGTAAATATCGACGTAGAAAGTGTGCTCCTGATTGCATTCTCGCACCTTATTTCCCTCACGATCGCCAACGTCAATTCCTCAACGCCCATAAATTGTTCGGCGTCCGAAACATCACCAAAATCATCGAAAACCTCAACCCTCGCGACAAAGACAACGCCATGCGAACCATCATTTATCAATCCGACATGCGAGCTAATGATCCTGTCGGAGGTTGTTACAGGTACCTCCAGGAGCTTCAAGCTCAGGTCCAATACCATCAAGCTGAACTCGATCTTGTTCTTCAACACCTCGCTGTTTTTCGATCCCAAGCTCATCATCATCAGGAAGCTATCGATATTAATAACGATGCCGATCATTTGAATCTGTGCAACCCTAATAATATTAGTCATTATCAGTTGGCTCAACAAGATCCGTATCTGATGGTTCAGGAACAACATCATCATCATCATCAAAACAATAATGGTGTTGCTTTGCAGCATCAGGACGATGTTAATTCTTGGGCCATGCAGGAATCCATAACCTTGTCGTTTCACGACAAGAACGGCGACGATGAGAGTGGTGGCGGTTATGTCGGCGATGAATTGTACAACAATGATCAGAAACCTTCGTCGTGTATGCTTGACAACATTAATTGTGAGGAAAGGAACGAGATTGGTTTTGAACCTGAGGAATTAGTGGAACGGAGGTTTGTTTTTCATATATATATATATATATATATATATTTATGTATATTTTAATTATCGTAGCAAATTATAAGGATTCATCAATTTATTTACTGCACTATATGGATTCATCATCCATTATTGTGATGATATTATTATGTGTTTGTTTACTTGTGTATATCATATTATTACGTAAACTTGAATTTGTTTTTAACGTGATAAAGTTTGTCTTCTTCTTTTTCTTTTTTTTCTTTTTTACTGTTACGTGCAGTGATGAGGCGATCTTGTTCAAGATGGAAAATGCAGATGTAAATGAAGAGGTTAATTGCATTCAACAAGTTCAAGATCATGATCTAAAAGGTGCTGCAACCTTGTTCACCCTCACAAATTGCACTAGCTGATGGGAAATTATATATCTTACTTCAGGTTTCAATTTTGGCACAATTTTGTTTAAGATCATAGGAAGCAACAAAGCTTAGAAGGTGCTATAGTACATCTTGTAGAGAATTAAGCGTTATTTTTTTAATTAGTTCTTATTTCTATAGAATCAATAACATTATATGCCCTCCAACATGACAGATTCTTTAAAAGTTATTGGAAGTTTTGTTAGGTGATCGAATTCAGTGGGCAAAGTTAGATATATGCTCAGTTTTTCAATGTAAAATGAGACTTTTATTTAACATATATTTCTCTATAAATTTAATTTGACTTATTATTTGAAATGTGGGTGAATCTCTAGATAATGTGCGCCCGCTGAATTAGATGAATTTTTGATATTGATATGTAGTGCAGCGTTGTTCTAAGAGTCTGAGGAAAAAAACTTTCATTAAGTTCATCATCAACACCACAGTAATAAAATAAATATCAACAAAGCCAGCAGAAGCTTAAATAATTCTTCTTCTTCCTTTAATTCTTCTCACATATATGAATTGCACATGGTTTTTCTTTAGGCAGCATAACAGTGTGACTGTTGTGTTACAAAAATATAATACTGATGCACGAACCTATAGTTTAGATAAATCAAAGTTTGATTTGCTTAACAGTAAGGCTACAAATAAATCTTAAAGTTTTCTTAACATAGAAAAGAACCAGAAAGGCATACTTAATCCGTAGAAAAACTATGACTGGAGAAGGAAAATCATATCCCTGCTGTCTGCTTGTAGTAGAAGTTGTTTGTGTGTGTGTGTGTGTGTGTGTAGGCGTTCGCGCACACTGGCGGCCGACAGCAACATATATATCTGCAACTTTTGTGTATGCTCTAGTCAAAAACTTTTGCGTGTGTGAGAGAATTAACATTAACTTCAATTCGGACAAGTTAATTAAGCTCATGTCATGGTATCAAAATAAACAATATAGCTACAGCTTTTAAGGAAATGATGAAGGCATGGAAGAACTGAGACGATAGCATAAACGTGAAGTTGTCTGGCTTCATCTCATCATCAAAAGTTCTTGAACCAAATTCTCACCAAGCCCATGCATATATAATTCTCCGCTGTGCATTTCATATGATCAAATACTAAATCCCCTTCCTTGATAATAACCCCACATTTCATATACACACTAATGAAACGGTAACCATGGATTTGCCTAACAACGTTCTGAGTTTCAAACTCTGCACAAACTCATCATGAAATGCTAGCTGGAGAGTGGAGATTGTCACAGAGTATGATAGTACTTGACCATTACATTGGCCAGGTGCATTTTCCTAATTAATAACAATTTTTCGTCCAACGTACAGCAATCAACAGACAAATTAAATGTGGTAGATGGATTACAGATTTCACCAAAAAAATTTTAAGAGATCGATGTTGACAAGCCATAACGGGTAGAGTGAGTCGGTGAAAGCTTTTAAACTTGATTGATGAGCTAGTGAGGGCATTCAAGTGACCACCATCAGATCAAAACACTTTAAGATAAGGAAAATTTTGATGCATGAATCGACTGTATAACTCGAGAACGTGTTTTCAAGGGGGGAAAAAACTTTTATATATATATATATTATATTGCTAGCTCCCCATGAACATGATGTTAATGTTGACTATAGGATGATGGAATTTCTTCCCTTTATGTATGAATCCGGTATGTGCATGCATAATAATGAGCCTAATATATTGATGAGCCCTAGACAATTTAACGCCATGGCATTATATTGCAGTGTTGATGCTAGTGTTATGAACACTTAAATATAAGATTTCAAGTTTAAACTTGAGTGAAATAAGAAAATAGCTTTGAAAGAGCTATCCAAATTTAAGGCAAGATAATGCTTGAAATGAAATATCAATATCAAATATCAAATGTGGTATACATAATTATACAAGGTACAATATAATCGTAAGTTAGTCCCTCAAAGAGTAAAATAGTTTAGATTTTTATTAAGTTATACGAATTACCCTCAACCCAAATGAAACTAAAGAAGAACCACTTGGATTTACTTTTTGTAAGAAGCTCCATCACATCATTTATCGAAAAAAGAGTAAGGATGCTCCCTTGGAAGTAATTGTACGTAGCCAAGAGGAGAGGTATGTTTTGTTTATAAATATTTATTGATTGGTAGAAGAGAACACTTTGAATTTGATATCCCCCTACTTAAATCATTATTATACTACTTTTTAAACGCCAAATTAAACTTGTTGCTACCTACCATTAACTCCCAAGCAACAACTCATTAATGATTTAATCATATCTTATCATCTTTTTGAGCAAGCATCATCATTATCAATCTAGTTGTATGAAAACTACTGTTAATTGGTGGTTTGAGCTACGCGACAAATTACATTCGACATCATTAGTATAAACTGTGGTTCCTATAGCTGAACCAAAAAAATTAAAATGTACATAATAAACTCATATTAAATTAATTTGTATCACAAAAAAAAAACCAACCAAATAAAACATATCAAAATAGACTCATTAGAAACATATCTTATAACTAGGATGGGTATGAGTAAAATATCTTAGAATATTATTTTCTTGCATTAAAAACACATAGATATTTATAGCTTATGTTGATTCATTTCGATAATATATTTCAATCATAAATATATAATACAACTTATTTAAAACTTTATATAAAGTATGGGATTAAGATTCTGGTCGAATTACATAGCGTATTTATCACAATTGACCTTAAATATTATGCGCTTATAATATTGTAATTAAAAAATTAATAGTATATTGATTTATTCAATAATAAATTGTAATGAGTCAAATTATATCCGCGCCATAAACAAAAGATTAACCCATCCTTCAAATCTTGTAATAATATACTGTTAAATATTCATACAAGCAGGATTGAATACAGAAAGCGTCAGCTTTAATTGGGGCAAAAATAAAACGTGAAAAAGAAAAGAAGATTTAAAAAATAGTACTTTTCTTTTCTTTTCTTTTTTTAAAAAAAGAAAAATAGAAGTCTTCACCGATGCACCATTTCCAAATCTTGAACCTAACGTGAACCTTGCATTTGGCGCCAGAAGTCGCTGCCATTGCCGGTTTCTTACCGGCGGCCGGAACCGTAACCCTGATTCCTTCACAAGATACCGTAGTCCAACCTTGGGTGTCTTCAACCTTCCCGCCTTCGCCTTCACCTTCGTGTCCAAATTCACCCTCATGTCCAACCCATTTTCTCTCTGCAAATCAGCCTTCAGTCGGCTAGCAGATTCACCGTCCAGTACTGCACCATTGCTCGTAATCAAAGCCCTCAAGAGCGTCGTGTTCTTCTTGCCGTGCTCGAATGACGGCATTCTCCCGTCGCCGACGCTGACGTTCCAGAGATTACGGAAATTGAGATCCGTTCGAACTGGAAGGCGATTTTCTTGTTAGGGTTTGTAGCGGTGATATTGAGTTCGAATCTGGAGTTAAGTGAAGAGGAGGAAGTCATGTTGAGGTATGAGAGTTTGAAGGAGTCGACGGTGAAGGAAGGGCTGTGAGGTCGATAAAGGAGGTAGAGAACGATGCCAGCAACGCCGGTGAGGAATAGGAGGATGAGAATGACGAGGAGGAACCAGAAGCAGAAGGTGCAGCAGCGTCTGCGGTGGCTCTGACGGTGGTACAGGTAGGGCTGAGGACGGTAGGCAGGTCGAGTGGCGCCGTAGAGCTGGGCTTTTGTGGCAGGAAAAGATGGCCTAGCTCGGCCGTAAACTGCAGTGGCAGGCTTCGCCGAAGGGTAGACCCTGTCCGCCATGGTGATCGGAGGAGTGGCTGGAATCGGCAAATGCAGAGAAGAATGAGTGATTATAGTTTTGAGAATTAAGAAAGAAGGGGGCTTATGAGTGTGGTTTTGTGGGATTATATTTAATAGAGAGAAGGTTAAGAACAACTGATTCTTGTTAATTAGTCACAGGATTAAGTATATAATTTTATTCTGATACTCAACTCATCAGTTCTTGGCCAATAACAAAACAGTGATGTGGGAGGTGGTTGGGGCCGTTATAGTTAAATTTAGGATTTTTAAGTGCTCAAAATTAAGTTATTGGATCAACTTTTGAATTTGGATGAAATAAAATCTATTGAAAGATGGTAAAATTAACTTCACTTTAAATCATATTTTAGGATTTAAAGTTAAAATGTTTTTACTCCCTGCATGGTCATTTGTTTCTTATAAGGAGTTTTGGAGCAAGTATTTAATGGCTTGACTTTGTTTAAGAAAACTCTCTCTATTCAGGTCTCCCATCCAACAAGAAACTCACTTTTATCATTTCTTTTATGAGGTATTTTTAATATGTTTCATTAGAACAAAAAAGCTGGCAAAATTTAAAAAAAACTTAAATTTTATTGAATTTAATAAGTTTTCGATTTTAATATTAGTTAGTAGAATATGTAATAAGAATAATTTTGTATGTTCATATAATGGATATTTAATGACATGATTTATTAAAAAATGAAAAATATCCCTTTTTATCTTATAAATAGGATGAGGTGGGTAAATCAATCATCACTTTATTGGTGATCAAGCGCCGACAATTTTAAATAATTAATTACTACCTCCGGTCATTATATAATATCTCTTTTGACTTTTATTTTAATCATAAATATAAAACCCCATTTACTTTGTCTTTTATATTTATGTATTTTTTTCAAGATAGTTCTTCTAGTACAGTAGTTTTAGCTAATACACTTGATTAACAAGGATAGTTTAGAAAATACAACACCTATTTATTACAAATAATTAACTTAACTTATTTTCTTAATCTATTCAAATTAGTCAACTAACTCTTATATTTATCTGGCAATGTATATAGTATATGCAATGAAAATGAAGGAAGCACCTAACAGTAGGTTTAATTAATGATTAATTTCCATTAATATTCAATTTAGGGGCGGACGAAATGGAATGCTTACCTTCCATTTACTGATTTTAGATTTGAAGCCCCTCGATCATTTTCAAAAAAACATGTAGAGTGAT